ATGGTTGTGACCAAAACGCTAATTAACGATGTGGACAGTGAAGTCTGGGCTTCAGTGGTCTCAGATGGAGATGAGGAACTTATTGCTAACTGGAGTAAAGGTCATTCTCACTGTGCTTTAGCAAAAAGACTTGTGGCATTGTGCTCCTGCTGTGGAGGTCTGTGAGAGACAGAACTTTAGCTTGAGAGAGATTATTTAGAATGTGGCAGAATAAATTTCTTTTTTTTTTTTTTTTTTTTGAGATGGAGTTTCACTCATGTTACCCAGGCTGGAGTGCAATGGCGCGATCTTGGCTCACCGCAACCTCCGCCTCCTGGGTTCAGGCAATTCTCCTGCCTCAGCCTCCTGAGTAGCTGGGATTACAGGCACGCACCACCATGCCTAGCTAATTTTTTGTAGTTTTGGTAGAGACGGGTTTTCACCATGTTGACCAGGATGGTCTCGATCTCTTGACCTCGTGATCCACCCGCCTCAGCCTCCCAAAGTGCTGGGATTACAGGCTTGAGCCACCGCGCCCGGCCAGAATGTGGCAGAATAAATTTCTAAGCAGCGAAGCATCGGAGAGGTCACCTGGCTGCTGCTTAAAGTCTGCACTCAATTGCATAAACAAAGAAATAACCTAAAACTATAGCTCATATTTAAACTGAAAGCATAGCATGAAAGTTTTGAAAATTTGCTGCCCATTGTCTGGCAGGAATTCAAGGCTGCTGAAATGTACATTAAAGAAGAGCTGAGGCCAGACGCGGTGGCTCACGCCTGTAATCCCAGCACTTTGGGAGACCGAGGCAGGCGGATCACGAGGTCAAGAGATCGAGACCATCCTGGCCAACATGGTGAAACCCCATCTCTACTAAAAAAGTATAAAATTTAGATGGGTGTGGTGGTGTGTGCCTGTAGTCCCACCTACTTGGGAAGCTGAGGCAGGAGAATTGCTTGAACCCAGGAGGCGGAGGTTGCAGTGAGCCGAGATCGCTCCACTGCACTCCAGCAAGATTCTGTCTCGGAAAAAAAAAAAAAGAGCTGAATGTTAATAGCCAAGACAATGAGGAAAATGCCTGCAGGGCATTTCAGAGACCTTTACAGCAGGTCCCTCTATCATAAGCCTAGAGGCCTAGGAGACTAAAATAGTTTTGTGAGCCAAGCCCAGGGACCCCCTGCTCTATGCATCCTCAAAACCTCAAAACTTGGCACCCTGAATCCCAGCTGCTTCAGCTCTAGCTGTGGCTAAACGGGGCCAAGGTACAGTTCTGTCCATTGCTTCAGAGGGTGCAAATCTCAAGCCTTGGCAGCTTTCACGTGGTGTTGGACCTCTGGGTGCACAGAAGGCAAGTGTTGAAGTTTGGGAGCTTCCACCTAGATTTCAGAGGATGTACAGAAATACATGGACATGCAGGCAGAAGTCTGCTGCATGGGTTGAGTCCTCGTTGAGAACCTCTACTAAGGCAGTGTGGAGGGGAAATGTGGGGTTGGAGCCCCCACACAGAGTCCCCACTGAGGCACTGCCTAGTGGAGCTGTGAGAAGAGGGTCATTATCCTCCAGACCCCAGAATGGTAGGTCCACCAACAGCTTGCATCATGTGCCTGGAAAAGCCACCAACACTCAATACCAACCTGTGAAAGCAGCAACAAAGGTGGTATCCTGCATTGTCACAGGAGCAGAGTGCCCAAGGCCTTAGGAGCCCACCCCTTGCATCAGTGTGACCTGGATATGAGACATGGAGTCAAAGAAGATTATTTTGGAGCTTTAAGATTTAATGACTGCCTTTCTGGGATTTGGATTTGCAGGGGACCTGTAGCCCCTTTGTTTTGACCAATTTCTTTTGGAATGGGGGAATTTGCCCAATGCCTGTACCCCCCATTGTATCTTGGAAATAACTCACTTGCTTTTGATTTTACAGGCTCATAGGTGCAAGGGAGTTGCCTTGTCTCAGATGGGTCTTTGGACATAGAATTTTGAGTTAATGCTGGAATGAGTTAAGATTTTGGGGACTGTTGGGAAGGCATGATTGCATTTTGCAATATGAGAAGAACATGAGATTTGGGGGTGGGACAGGGGCAGAATGATATGGTTTGGCTCTGTGTTTCTGCCCAAATCTCAGGTCAAATTGCAATTCCCAGTGCTGGGTGACAAACCTGGTGGTAGGTGACTGGATCATGGGGGCAGATTTCCCCTTTTGCTGTTCTCATGATAGTGAGTTCTTATGAGATCTTGTTTAAAAGTTTGAGACCGCCCCACTTGCTCTGCGATAGTAAGACATGCTTGCCTCTCCACCCTCTGTCATGATTGTAAGTTTCTTGAGGCTTCCCACCCATGTTTCCTGTACAGCTTGTGGAACTGTGAGTCAATGAAACCTCTTTTCTTCACAAATAACAGTCTCAGGTAGTCCTTTATAGCAGTGTGAGAATGGACTAATACATAATCCTACTAAGTCAGTTTAGCAAAAATTTTCCCCTTCCTCTTGATACCTGATCAAATTCCTTGTCCCTCACCCTAAATGTCTTCTCCCCTTGGCCTGCCTTCAGCAAAATTTCTCTTTAGTTGGTTTGGCAAGAATTCACCCCTTATCTGTGAGGTTTGCACTTAGTAATTTTTCATGCACCAGACACTCTGCTGCTTCTCAGCTGTAAACCTTCACTTGTTCTTGTCCAAGCTGGAGTTGAGTCTGGCTTCCCAAGCCCCTCTGTAGTAGCTTCTGTAATAAGGCCTGCCTCACCATGTGTTTGTGTGAATGGAATTAGATGCCTGCCTGTTGCACAACACTGTGTATGTTAGACTCCAATGTTGCTACAGGCGGCCTTGTTTTCTCCTCAAAGCTGTGTAATATTCCATGGTCTGGGCATACTTGAACATGCGGATCTATTCACTGTGAGCAGTGGTTCTCATCCACGAGCAGTTCTGCCTCCAGGAGACATCTGGGTGTCATGATGAAGGGTGGTATCTGATAGGTGGAAGCTGGGGCTGCTGCTAAACATTCTCCAAGGCTCACAATGGCTCCCACAGCAGAGTTATCCAGCCCAGGTGTGAGCTGTGCCAAGGCTGAGGTGTATACATTTCTTGTTCATACTTTCCTTTTTTTTTTTTTTTTTTTTGAGATGGAGTTTCGCTCTTGTTACCCAGGCTGGAGTGCAATGGCACGATCTCGGCTTACCGCAACCTCCACCTCCTGGGTTCAGGCAATTCTCCTGCCTCAGCCTCCTGAGTAGCTGGGATTACAGGCACGTGCCACCATGCCCAGCTAATTTTTTGTATTTTTAGTAGAGACGGGGTTTCACCGTGTTGACCAGGATGGTCTCGATCTCTTGACCTCGTGATCCACCCGCCTCGGCCTCCCAAAGTGCTGGGATTACAGGCTTGAGCCACCGCGCCCGGCCCTCTTGTTCATACTTTCAAAGGAATAAACCCCATTATTGAGGGGAAAAAGTCTCACATTCCCAGGATATGTACAATTGTAAGTTACAGATTTGTGTCTTTGTAGAAATGGGTATATCATAAGACATAAGTCCCTAGTGGACTGATAGGAATGCCCCGGCTGGGCACTTCACTTCGGTGTCTGCAGCATTCTAGCAAAATATGCAGGTATTGCAGAGTTAGTGTCAGCAGCATCTCCGCCTCTTGGTTTCACCTTTCAGATTCTGGGATGGGCTCATCCCCAGACCAGTTGTGGCCAGAGGGTAAGCATCCTGAAGAAGTGGTGTCAATATGATATTGGTATGAGCCCCATGGTTTTGTGTGAATTGTATTCCCCTTGCTCTTTTTTGAAAAAAATTTATTAGGCTGTGCACTATGGCTCACACTTGTAATCCCAGCACTTTGGGAGGCTTATCTGGGAGGATCACTTGAGTCCAGGAGTTTGAGACCAGCCTGGGCAACAGACAGAGACCCTATCTCTACAAAGTGAAATGAAATGAAATGTAATGTACACATAGTATGTACATTATATATAGTAGTCCCCCCCACCAAATCGAAGAGGGATACATTCCAGTACCATGTTGGATGCCTGAAACCTCATATGGTACCAATCGCTACATACAGTTGTCCACAGATATGTATATATGTGTGTCTGGCCTAGACATTACTTAAAGTACACTGGAAAATGTGTGTAGGTTATATGCAAATACACACCATCTTATATCAGGGACTTGAGCATCTTCCGATTTGGTGTCTGAGGGCAGTCTTGGAATCAATCCTCCACAGATACAGTGTACTTTAAGTAATGTCTAGGCCAGACACAGTGGCTCACGCCTATAATCGGAGCACTTTGGGAGGCCAAGGCAGACAGATCACCTGAGGTCAGGAATTTGATACTAGCCTGGCCAACATGGCAAAACCCTGTATCTACTAAAAATAGAAAAATTAGCCAGTGTGGTAGCATGTGCCTGTAATCCCAGCTACTAGGGAGGCTGAGGCAGGAGAATCACTCGAACCTGGGAGGCAGAGGTTGCAGTGAGCTGAGATCATGCCACTGCATTCCAGCCTGGGAGACAGAGTGAGACTCCATCTCCAAAAAAAAAAAAAAAAAAAAAGGTAATGTCTACTTATGTTACCTAATACAGTGTATATACTGTATAAATTTTATATTGTATTGTTTGGGAGATAATGAGGAAAAATGTCTGCACACGCTCAGTACAGATGCAATGTTTTTTTGAATACTTTCAATCCAAAGTTGGTTGAATCTACGAACGTGGAACCCATGCATGTGAAAGGCTACTGTATACTGTGGTTTTTCTTATACTTACCTATGATAAGGTTTAATTTATAAAAAATTTTAAAAAATACGGGCTACTTGAACACAAGTACTGTGATACCATGATGGTTGATCTAATAACCAAGGTAGCTCCTAAAAACAACTAATGACAGGTGTATATACAGTGTGGAAACACTGGACAAATGCCTGGTTCCCATTCTGAATGGGATGGTGTGGTACACCATGGGATTTCATCACGCTACTCATGATAGTGTGCAATGTGAAACTTGTGAATTGTTTATTTCTGGATTTTCCATTTAATATTTTCAGACCACAGTTGACCTTGGGCAACAAAGGTGGAGAAGTGAAACTGCCAATCAGGAGAGGCTACTGTAATTCCGTCACAGAGGATGGAAACTCCTGACCAAAGAGGATATGAGATGTGGACTAGGTGAGTTCCAGATGGATTCTGGGGTAGCCTGGGCCATTGCAAGTGTGGCTAAGATGAGTGGGACATGGGATAGAGAAGATGGTATCCTGGATTATCTGGATGGGCCCAATCTGGCATATGTGCCCTGAAAAGCAGAGGTTATAGGCTGGAGTCAGATGCTGAGGAAGGAATGAGTAGAGAGCTGAAATGTGAGAAGGATTATACTCCCTGTTCCTGGCTTTAAAACTGAAAGGGGCGCCGGGTGCGGTGGCTCAAGCCTGTAATCCCAGCACTTTGGGAGGCCGAGGCGGGTGGATCACAAGGTCAAGAGATCGAGACCATCCTGGTCAACATGGCGAAACCCCGCCTCTACTAAAAATACAAAAAATTAGCTGGGCATGGTGGTGCGTGCCTGTAATCCCAGCTACTCAGGAGGCTGAGGCAGGAGAATTGCCTGAACCCAGGAGGCGGAGGTTGCAGTGAGCCGAGATCGCGCCATTGCACTCCAGCCTGGGCAACAAGAGTGAAACTCTGTCTGAAGAAAAGAAAAAAATAGGTTCATCAGAAAGCACTATTACACAAGTAAAAAGGCAAGTGACAGAGTGGGAGAAGACCATTGTAGAGCCAACAAAGGACTGGCCTCCAAACATACAAAGAACTCAGCATCTCAATAAGAAAGAAACTTAATAGAAAAGTTGGTAAACGACGTCAGCCGGCCCCCTCATAAACAAGGAAATCCAAATGGCCAATAAGTGCATGAAAGTGTGCCCAACTTTACTACTAATAAACCACAGTGAGATTCTACTTCACACCACACTAATGGCTAAAATGAAAACAACCGTACCAAGTGTTGCAAGAATGTGGAGCAACTGAGTATCTTACACAACACGGCAGGGGGCAGTGTAAACTAGTGCACCCATCAAGAGACAGTTGCAGTCCTAGGCATTCACCCAACAGAAATACAAGCCTGCTTATCAAAAGATACATACACGATGTTCATATCAGGTTTTTTTTGTAGTAACTCTCAACTGGAAACAGCCCAAATGTCCATTGACAGGAAGGAAAACGAGCAAATGTTGTATTCAAAGTGGAGCATTTTATATGACCACATAAAATGATTATTGTGTCCTAGAGGATTACACAAAGTGAAGTGGTTATTGCACCATGGAAGATTACACAGCCATGTGAAAGGGTTGTGCCATAGGGTATTACGCAACCTTGTAAAATGGTTATTGTGCCATAGAGTGTTGTGCAATGGCCTAAAGTTGTGATTGTGGCATGGAATCTTACATAACCACGTGGAGGGTTTATTGTGCCAGGGAGTCTTATATAATCGTGTAAATGGGTTATTTTGGATGGAGCATCACACAACCGAGTAAAATATTAATTGTGCATGTAAGGTGATACGACCGCATGAAGGTGTCAGCCAGCGTCCACTGGAGCGTTGTACACCCCTGTACAGGAGTGATTCCAGGCCCCAGTCCCCGATGCCGTGAGAGGAAGGAGACACAGCAGTCTAGGAGTGGAACCCGCGTGAACGAGATTCTGCCGAAACCACGCGCGTCCAGGGTGGTGCAGAATCGCAAGAGGATGGAGGGCTGGTCAATCTGAGAGACTAGGTGCTTGTCCGCGGCGGCTCAAGGTCAGCCCACGCGCGCTCCCGGCGTTTTTCCGTCTGCTAAACCTCGCCTACCAGCGGAGGCAAAGGACTAAGGACCGGGAAAGGAAACACTGTGCGCGCTCCCAGGTTCTGGCTGCCTAGCAGCCGTGACCCCGCCCCACCCCGGCTGGTCCCGGCAGGTGCCTGCCGTCAGGGGTCGCCGGGAAAATAGCATCCGGGAACTCTGCGCGCGCATGCGCAGAGCCCGAGGGCGAGCTGACGTAGACGCAGCGGCGGCGGGAGGTGAGTTCGCCGTCTCGCGGCCTCTCGGGTCTCGGCCTCCCCGACTCCCGTCCAGCGGTCGTGGAGCCCAGGTCTTGTGAGGGTGGCGTCAAGTACTCCAGAGCGGCTGGGGCTGGGACGTGGCTGCGTGGACGCTCTTCCTGTCTGAGGGTCCGCGGCAGCCCTGCTCTGGGCAGGGTCCTGTGGGCGCGCTGGCTTGGTGTCCCGGGCGCTTGTCCTCTCCCCGCGGGGCGCGGAGCCCCTACCCTCCTTTCCTGTGGGGTGCAGACCCCTACTCCCCCATCTTCATGGGACGCGGGCGGGCCCCTTTTCCCTTCTCCCCGTGGGGTCCGACCCCGAATCTCCTCTCACCTCTCCCCGTGGGGCGCGGACTAATTCCGTTCTAAGAGACCGCAGGCCCGCTGTTCTCTTCCCTTGAGGCGGGGACTCAGTTCTCTTCCTCCCCCTCCCACTGGGACGGACCCCTCTTTCCGCCGTTCGCTTGACTCCAGACTCCCTAATATTCTGTTTTTTTCCTCCGGGCACCACCCCCCTTTTTTCCCCCCCCCCCCCTGCGGGCCCCCCCCCCCCCCCCCCCGTCTCTAACGGCACGGGTGCGGTTGCCCTTCCCTTCTCCCTCTCCTCAGAAGATTTGGGCTTGAACAGCCCTTTGTGTTTCCCGAGTCTGACTCCCAAGGACGTGTTCCCCACTTGTCATTCTACTCCGCCTAACAACCTTGTTCTTCCTCCTCTTCCTTCTCCCGAGAGATGACTTCCTCATCTGCCCTTTTAGGGTTGTGTGTGGATGCTTCCTTCCACCGTGAACACTCCCAGCCAGGCTTCCTCCCATCCCTGCTGGGTTGTGACTCCACTGGCTTGCCCTTCCTCCCTTTCCTGCTGTTGTAGACTGGGCCGCCCTCCCCATGAACCTCTGTTGCCTGAAAGCTGACCCTCAGGGACAGGCATCTGAGACTTTGGGGTCCTCAGCTGAGCATCTCCTCTCCCCCAAACTCAGTCCTTCTAGACTCTGTAAGTGGTGACTCCTTCCACCCACAATCCTCATTGTCCACCTGGATATTTCTCTTTTCCCTAACCCCCGCATCGTCTCTGTCCAAAATCTCATGCCTTAACTGTTAAGATATTTCCGGAATTCCAATTAGTTGGGCTTGGTGGCACATGCCTGTAATCCCAGCTACTCAGGAGGCTGAGGCAGAAGAATCGCTTGAACCTGGTAGTTGGAGGTTCAGTGAGCCAAGATTGTGCCACTGCATTCCAGCCTGGGTGACAGAGCGAGAATCTATCTCAAGAAATATATAAAAATAAGGCCGGGCGCGGTGGCTCACAACTATAATTCCAGCACTTTGGGAGGCCGAGGTGAGTGGATCATGAGGTCAAGAGATCGAGACCATTCTGGTCAACATGGTGAAACCCTGTCTCTACTAAAAATACAAAAGTTGCCGGGCGCGGTGGCTCAAGCCTGTAATCCCAGCACTTTGGGAGGCCGAGGCGGGTGGATCACGAGGTCAAGAGATCGAGACCATCCTGGTCAACATGGTGAAACCCCGTCTCTACTAAAAATACAAAACATTAGCTGGGCATGGTGGCACGTGCCTGTAATCCCAGCTACCCAGGAGGCTGAGGCAGGAGAATTGCCTGAACCCAGGAGGCGGAGGTTGCGGTGAGCTGAGATCGCACCATTGCACTCCAGCCTGGGTAACAAGAGCGAAACTCCGTCTCAAAAAAAAAAAAAAAAATACAAAAATTAGCTGGACATGGTGGCACATGCCTGTAGTACCAGCTACTCGGGAGGCTGAGGCAGGAGAATTGCTTGAACCTAGGAGACGGTGGTTGCAGTGAGCCGAGATCGCACCATTGCACCCCAACCTGGGTAACAAGCAAAACTAAATCTCAAAAAAAAAAAATATATATATATATATATATATATATATATATATGCATGCCAGATATAGGTGATGAAGAGGAAGGCAGCAAATCATACTGCCATGTGTGTACCTATGCAACAATCTTGCATACTCTTCACACGTACCCCAAAACCTAAAATGCAGTTTAAAATATGTATATATTTTTTTTAAAAAGGAAGATACAATCATGAAAAAAAAGATATTTCCAGAATTCAGCCACATCACTACACCTCTTCTCCCTGATATGGGCATTTCCTTCCTCCCTTGCCTTTGGCCTTTCCATGATCCGGTGGGAGACTGACACCGAACCCTAAACCCTCTTCTTAGTAACAGGCAGAATCCTCACATGCCTTGGGACTACCGGCTGCTGACCTAAGGACTGTTTGCTGCTGGGCTGTAGGTGATAAAAGAGCTTGCATCAGAGGGAAAATCCATGCCCTAGCTTCTTCCTTGGGCAGTTCATTCTCTGAAGCTGCTTGGCTTTTGAGTTGTAGGCAGTGGATAGAGAGATTGGAACAGTTTGGGAAAGGAGCCTAACTAAGAAACTGGATTGCAGGTACATGTGCTTCCTCAGTTTGCAGAGTGAACATGTGATAATGACAGATTCTGCAGTTCTTTGCTTATCCCTACTAGAATGCCTACTCTGTGAGGTGGAGGTCTTCATCTGTTTGGTCCACTGCTAAATTATTAATGCCTAGAACAGGGCCTGGCATGCAGTATGTGTTCAGTAAATACAGAGTGAAAGAAAAGGGGTCATCCCTGTGGCCACAGGAAGCTGGCTCTTTTCTCACAGACTTGAGATCACAGAGGGTGTGTGTGATGCATCCAACACACATTCATATTGTGTGCCCAGGCCTTTTTTTTTTAAAGAGGTTTTTCCTTTATAATATCCACTGCCTTTGGCAATATGGAATATTGGGTGAGTGTGTGCGTGCATGTGTTTGTGTTTGAAATTGGCATGCTTCATGTGCTACAAAACTTTGCAACCTGCTTCTTTCCCCAACTTCTCTCTTGTACCAGGTGAAGCTTTCAGCACGCTGGCTTTCACTGCTATATAGTTTTCTTCCTTGTGAAAATGCCACAGTTCTTTTTGCCTTGCCTTCCCTGTTGATGAACATCTTGGAAGTTTCCAGATTTTCAGCGTTTCCACCAGTGCTTTAGAGCACATGTTCAATGTGTATCCTTGTAAGGGTTTCTCTAGCCTGGAAGTTTTCAAA